AATATTCCACGAAATGACTATACGTTTCACACAGATCTTCTTACTCATCATGTTCATGAGTGCTTATGAGTAAGCACTTCTGCATGAATCACACTGAGGCGTTCTGTGGAATATCAATGAACTCTCCCTATTGTCTGTGAAGGTTTTTATTTATCCAAATTATGGTATAGCTAGTAGTAGCTTGCCTTATTCCACTGGGCTTGTTCTGTAATGTTGAAGATATCTTGCTGCATATTCAGGCAGCTTCCTTAGCTCTCATGAGTGTCAGGACAATCCCCAGCATTTATGGCCACACAGGTAACTTAGTCACATTAAGGCAATCACCATTGAATGTGTCAAGATAGATGTTGATTTTCCATGGTGGGAGGTACGGATGCACCGATACCGGTTTGTCGGTATCGAGTATGAGTACCAATATTTTTTTTTGGTCCTCGCCGATACTGTATACCCATACTGGAAGTCCCATTAAGAAAGCCAGGTGGCGTGTAATGTCTCGCCACCTAGCTTCTTGCTTAGCCGGGAAGCAGTCACATCGCCAAGTGAGGTGGAAGCATGAAGCCGGCTTTCTGACCACACAGGAAGCCGGGCGCCGTGTAATGAGTTGTTGCCCGGCTTCCTGATTGGTCGAGAAGCTGGCCAATCAGGAAGCTGGGCAACGAGTCATTACACGGCTACCGGCTTCCTGATTAGCCACGGATGAGAGAGCATGAAGCTGGCTTTCTGGTCACTGAAAAAGCCAGGGGGGGGGGGTAATGACTCATCGTCCGGCTTCCTGAATGGCTAGCTTCCCGACCATTCAGGAAGCTAGGCGGAGAGTCATTACACACTGCCTAGTATTCTGATTGGTCAGGGAGCTGGCTCCATGCTCCCCCGTCACTAAGTGATGAGGGAGCATGGAGCCGGCTTTCCGGCCAATCAGGAAGCCGGGCAGCGTGTAATGACTCGCTGCCCGGCTTCCTGATACAGGAAGCTCAGGTATGGGACTAGACATCGGAGCATTTGGGCGAGTACGAGTACTCGCCCAAATACTCAGCACCGGCACCGATACTAGTATTGGTGCATCCCTAGTGGGAGGGATGAAAGTTTGTGAAACCTTCCTGTTCTAATTTCATAGTCAAATCGTGATGGTGTCAGGAAGTTTGGAGCAGGTGTTAATGGTTCCAGATATATGACTGAAGGTCATGTATGGGGCGGAGATCCTAAAACAGCATTATATGTGGGTGGGAGATGGTGTCGAAGGAACGTGCCCCTGCTTAGGGTTGGCTGTTCCACTATGATGTAAATGGCCTATATGGCACCTTTCGCAATTCAATTGTCCTCTATATCTAAAATGTGCACCTCACTGGCATCATTTTTTGAAAAACCCGCAAAGTCCTAACCTACAGAGTTCACCCTCCTATGTTGGACCATTCAGTCGTTGAGAGATTATCTGGTCTCCCCAATGTTGAGGTTTTTGCATTGCTCACACTGAATATTCCAGTTCATTTTGCTTGTGTTTGGATGTTGGATTTTTTTGGGACGTACAAGCTTCTGTTTTATTATGTTGCTGGGCTTGAAAAGACGCAGAGATGTGATGTTTGTCAAAACCCCTTCTGAGCTTTTTTTCAACCAGCCACATATGGAATGACTATTACTTTGATCCCGCTGTTGGATAGCCCCTTGTTTTTTGCTTGACCTTGTGGATGTTTTAACATAACTACTACTGGCAAACTCTTCAAGACCTGAATCGTGTTAATATTTAAATGTATATTTACACAAAAAAAAGGGGGGAAAAAAGGAGATGCAACTTTTAGCTCTGCATTTCCACAGTAATTGTAGCAAGCATTCTACAATGACACTGGTAACCTAATCTCCTGGATGTCTAGTTGCTGGTCTCTGCTCTCAAAAGGTCCAGCTCTGTTATGAAAAAGCAACCCAATTTACTCTGAAATGAGCCCAGCCAAGTGAACTGGCAGGATCTTCACGTAACACGGTACAATGCCACCTAATCCTGTTCAGTACTCCAACGTTGCACTGAAAGCCACACAGCGCACTCCTGTCTTGTGGTGCCTAGAATGCAGTGTCTGCGGCACTGTCAGGGTAAGTTACTGGCTCATGTCAGGATCTAGACAACAAAGGCATCATATATACTAATAGTAGCAGAGGTGTCTGGTTCCGAGGCCCAATCAGATTCCAAGAGAAAGAATTGTAGTTCACTGATACAGTTTATTTACTTTAATGCCTGAAGAGAACAATCTGTTCTCGGTGCTGTCTCCAGGGCTGTCATCCTGACGTCTTTGAACGAAATTTGGACGGGATCCGAAATTCGTAAATGGAAATTCGGACACATTCGGATGCATGAGGATTCGTAAACTCGGATGTGTCCGAATCTTGGAAAATTCATCCGAATTTCGATTCGGAACGAAACGAATAACACCTGTCTAGTGAGCTGGGCTGGATGACAGACAGAGCCGGAGACAGATCCGAGGTAGCGTGCCATCACCAATGCCCTCCCCTGGTAATTTGCACCAATAATCCACTCTGCGCCCCCATCAAGTAAATGCCAGCACAAACCTAAAACTACTATACATTCCCTTTAAATAGGTTTCCGATCCATTTGCTCCTTATTATCCTTACAAAACAAACCTTCTGTAGGCCGGTTCCTCTCTGAGAGCTGCGGCAGGACTAAAAGGGCACCCGCAATTTCCTAATGACAGCTAACAGCACTTATTATCTTACCGCGAAGAGGGTCACAAACCCCTCCATATCAGTCAATGTGGAGCACATAATATCTTCTTGTCCAAGGATCATAACAGAGAAACATGCGTTTCTGTAAGAAGCCACTAATGAGCAAGTCGTGACCGCGGCACAAGTGCGCTGTGCATGTCTCAATAGCAAATCATATGTATGAGACCGTAGCAAACAGGGGAACAGGTACCCTTAAAAAATAAGATCACACGGGAACTTGTACACACGCATACACATGCACAATCCAAAACATACACACAATAGGTTGAACTTGATGGACCTGTGTCTTTATTCAACCTTAAATACTGTGTAACTATATTTTTGGATCTATGCACAAGGACCCAGCACAGGAAGGTGCGGGTATCGGCATGGGAAGGTCACGGCTTGGGAATATCATAAAGAATTGGTTCACCCAAAACATTTCAGCTTTGGTATTTGATGCAGGGGCTCTATTGGTGAGATCCCAGATGCTCAGATCAGCACTGATAACGCACCACACTGCATGCACACAGATAGGAATTGGGCTCGAGACTTAAGTGTCTGTTGCTGTACAAGGCAGAGGGTACAAGATGCATGTACATATTGGCAAAGAGTTGATAGAACAGGGATAGGTAACCTCGGCACTCCAGCTGTGCTGAAACCACAAATCCCAACATGCCTCTGGGAGTCATACTTGTGGCAACTCTGGTGCTCTGTCGAAGGATCCGACCCGTCGAGATCTCCGACTGGTGACGTCACGTCCGGTGACATGCCTGCAGTTGCCAGTAGGAGATTTAGTCCAGATGGTGCTGTTGTGCATGCACCAGCCGTGCCACTGTCAGAATCCTCATCAAGTTGTCGAACTCCCGTCACTGCACCTGCACGGCTTCACAATCCCCATCAAGTCCTCCAACTCCCGTCAGTGCGCCTGTGCGGTCACCGAACAGCTGGATCAAGTCCTCCAACTCCCGTCAGTGCGCCTGCGCGGTCACCAAACAGCTGGATCAAGTCCTCCAACTCCCGTCAGTGCGCCTGCGCGGTCAAACAGCTGGATCAAGTCCTCCAACTCCCGTCAGTGCGCCTGCGCGGTCACCGAACAGCTGGATCAAGTCCTCCAACTCCCGTCAGTGCGCCTGCGCGGTCACCAAACAGCTGCAAGTCCTCCAACTCCCGTCAGTGCGCCTGCGCGGTCACCAAACAGCTGGATCAAGTTCGCCAACTCCCGTCAGTGCGCTGACAGGGGTTGGAGAACTTGATGGGAATTGTAAAGCCACGCAGGTGCAGTGATGGTGGATCGGTAACCCGATGAGGATTCTAATGCTGGCGCACGATCGCCAGGCTGTGACACACTGCACGCGAAGCAGCATGGAGCTGTGGCGCACTGCCTACGCGTGCAGTGTGTCATGTAAATTTTCTCCCCGGCACGTCACCTTGCGAGAGCTCGCATAGCTGAGCGTGCCGAGATGAAAAATGTCATCTTCAGCCAACCGGCTCGCATGTATAAACCCACGCGTCACTATGCGAACTTCATCCGGTTGTTACGCACGAGCCGATTGGCTGAAGATGCAGTCAATCATCTGGCTGCACTCCACTCCCACACTGCATGCAAAGCTCTGTGCCTGACAGCTTTGCATGCAGGGTGTCACAGGCTTAAATATGCTACCAGCGAATCACCAGACGTGACGTCACCAGTCGGAGATCTCGACGGGTCAGAGATTTTGACAAAACACCGGCCCTCCAGCTGCTGTGAAACTACAAGTCCCATGAACCAGGGGCGTCCCGAGGCTGGGTGACACCCGGAGCGGTGTCTGAGTGTCACCCCGCCGAGACGTCATCGCGCAGCAGTATTCTGATACCTGCCAGCGGCCATCTTGGTGGTGGACGCCAGCAAAGAGAGGAGGAGACAGCCACCCGGCAGGATAAGGTATGACGCCGGGTCCCCTCCTCTCTCCTGATACTGTCGGGCGTTCGGTCCATGATCGACCACCCGACTTTTCAGAGGGGGGTGACACCAAAATGACTGCAAGTCATTTTGGTGTCACCCCTCCAATGGTGTCACCTGGGTGCAGGCCGCACCCCCTTGTGACGCCACTGCCATGAACCATTCCAAGCCTGACAGTTACAGACATGACTCCCAGAGACAGAGGAATCATGGGATTTGTAGTTAAAGTACAGCTGAAGGGCCGAAGTTGCCCACCCCTGCATGATGTTAAAATAGCAAACACACATTTCCTTTTTATTTACATTAGGCCCACTTTAGATGAACAGGTTTTCTTTTCAGTCAGGAAACTCACCACGTTCCAGAAGAGCGGGTTGAATATTATGCAGGCTGCAGCAAACACGAAGTTGTACTCTTTCAGGTCCACATACTGAGACAAGTCGGCCATGATGGAGACGTCAATCTAAATGACAACATGCTAAACTGTTAGCTGAGGCATCAATGTATCATGCAGATTTAGGTACAGCTGTTATATATATATATATATATATATATATATATTAATTTGTCTAAGCGTCTTGGTTGCTATGGAGAACACATTCATGTTTCCAGTCAGGCTTCCTCCAATCTGCAGTGTAGACATGGGAGCTGGCTCTGGTTGCTAGGGGCAACAAGTCTGTCTCCTATTTTTGTGTATAAAATGAAGGTTTGAATTCCCATAGCAACCATACTTACAGGTATGAGGAAGCACATGACCCCTTTTCTCTTGCTCCCACAATGCAACTCTCTGCACCTCAGTGGCCGTCTGCGAGGCCTAATTAACGTTAGCCCGGGCCCTTAGCCATGTGTAAACGCTGAACCCGAACCATTGGGCTTTTTCCTCAGGTAAGTGGACTGGGAAGGCAAGTATGAGCAGTGGGTGGCTTTGCTATCAAGAGAACCTGTCACTTTACCCTGAATATGAACAGGGCAGGTTTATCTAATGAGACAAGGGAAAGATACAATGGAAATGTATTTATAAGAACCCGTGCACGCCATAATGCCTGTGCCCCAGGCCTCATTCACACTGGCAGTGGGATACATGCGTATAGAAGGAGAAATGCAAAGTTGTCACCAGAAAAAGAGGTATGAAGAATTTGTCCAGTGGGGACACCTGTACCTGGCCACTGCGCCCATGAACAGGTACACTGTGCTAACAGTGTGGACGGGGATCCCCCTCCCCCCAGCTATCAAAATACCCAAACAGCAACAGCAGCTGACTGGCTCCTTGGACAACAGTTTGGGAAAGAATGGGGGTCCCAATGGGGCCACACACTGCTCGAGTGAACCAGCGTGTGGCCAGTTTAAGATTGGAATTCCCCTCTCTTTGGGAGATTTCCTCTCACTTCCTGTTGCGTTTCTGCAACAGGAAGTGATAAGAAAAATCCCTAATGATACACAGAGAGCGAAAGATACCCCGATAGAGTTTCAACCATTCTCCGCTCTAACCTAAACTAACAAAAAAATGTTTTGGCTATACACGCCCTTTAACCTTGCACTATTTTGTTGCCTTTTTGTGCACGACGCAGCACGTCCTGACACACTGACAACGCATCAAAAACACTGCAGTGAACAGAATCACATAGAAGTGTTTTTTGTTTTTTTTTAAAAGCAATCACAGCAACGCACATGTGATAAGCATATAATGACACACGCTGTATACCATGAACAGCTTCTAATGCATGTTATAATATGCACCCTTAATGATTTCTAGAAGTGTATAAATATTTGCAAGGGAGGGAGGAGCTTATACATTAAAGGGAACCTTTACTTTGCCCATGCCAGGCAACAGGTTCATTTTAATTGCTGTCATCGTCCAGAGCAGCAGTCAAGCTCCTTCAAACAAAGGGTCAGGGCTGCACCACAGTGTCCCCTATGCCAGTCACACAAAGCATGCAGTAGTTACCTTGGAATAATCCAAATTATTGAGCCCTCCACAGCAGTCCCACTGTGCAGGAGCCTCTGACTGGGCCAGCCCTGCCTGTGTGCTTATCACTTGGACGGGCAGCAGTGATCAGGACATCACTGACATCACAGAGCAAAAGTCCATGACAGCCTGGAGCCACATGCATGCAGACAATCCCATACACTTCCGTATCCCCTCTTTCCCCCCTCCCACTGAGCATGTGCAGTGCCTGGTGCACGCCTCCCCTATCTGGAAGCCGCTCGGTCGGTGGATACAATGTGACAAATGATCATTTCCACTGATACAATGTAACATGTGGACGTCCCCGTCTGTGCGTTTAACCCTTTCCTAAACACGGGCTCCCTGATGACTGCACGGTTAACCCTTTCATTACAAGCAGAGCCACGCAGGCTACATTACCATTAACCCTTTACTAGCTGGCCAGAACTACGCGCTAGGGAACACTAGGGACACCATCGCGTTTGATGTGCGTTGCAATGCAGGATCACGGCGTGCTAAAAGCACTAGTCGCTATTATAATCAATGAAGCTCTTGACATCGGCGCGTCACATTATAAGGCAGTGCGTTGCGTTTTTAAAATCCCCATTTGACGCATCCAATGGCAACACGCAATATAAGTCTCCATTCACACCTACGCGTGAGCGTCTCCGCGCGTACAATGCGCTTTTTTATGCAGGTTTTTAATGCATGGTTTGCACGCAGAAACGCTGAGGCAAAGACACGCATTTTCTTGAGCAGATCAAAATGCATTGCTGTGAATGAGAAAACGTGTACGCAAACACGCACAGTGGTGTGCAAAGCGCTTGTGTCGCGGGTTTTAATGCGCTTCCATTGAAGTCTATGCGGCTAAACGCGCTGTAATCTGCCCACGTGCTGTAATCATGCCTAACTGAACCAAAGGGCTCCGGCGGACAAAGCGAGCCGAAGGATCAGCAGAAGCTACTCTGCCCACGTGCTGTAATCATGCCTAACTGAACCAAAGGGCTCCGGCGGACAAAGCGAGCCGAAGGATCAGCAGAAGCTACTCTGCCCACGTGCTGTAATCATGCCTAACTGAACCAAAGGGCTCCGGCGGACAAAGCGAGCCGAAGGATCAGCAGAAGCTATGGCTGGAACCTTTGGCTCCGTAGTGAATAACCCTCTTAGTAACAGAGACGGGAGGAAGAATGGATGGGACTACAAATGCAGTGACGTCACCACGCTTGTATTCCATTGATAACTACCAGTCCGTCTGCCGTGGTGGCAGATGGGACTTGTAGTTTTTCCATTTTACAGGTCCTGTCAAGTATCCCTTCCTTGGGGCAAGTACCAAGCATTGCACATGCTCACTGAGGGGGGATACAATGTTTCATGCAACACTAGCATGTTAGGCTGCTTGTGATTGGCTAAACAGAAGCCAATAGGTTAATAAACTCTGCGCTCTGATTAGCCAGGAAGCTGCGCTACCCCCGCCTCTCTGCCGATTCTACAGAACGGCAGGTTACCAGCTGCAGCAGCCCGGTTGCTACGGCAACAACATCCATTAAACTTATTATCGAGATGGAACAAGTTCAAGAGCTCCCATCTCATTATTTTCTGCATTGTGGAAGCACGCATAATGCTTTCTGGAGGACGTTAATAAAGGAGAATAATACAAAAAAAGTAATATCAAAACAAAAATACTTGATTGCCCTGAAATTACTGAGTGGCCCCACGAAGGCAATGTGCCCACTTCTCCGTAATGGCAGCCCCGTATATATTCTCATATTTCACCAGCTACTTCACAGACTCTCGTCTCATTGTAGGAAGCGCGCCGCAATTTACTTCTCCGTGTGATACGGTGCCGGCATTGTAGTCACAGCTCCCATGTCATTTGCCAGGATTGAGGTTTGCTGATGGAGAGAAGTGAAAAAGATTAGTTCTAGCTCGATATCACAACTTGAAGGGATACTCGGAATCTGATTGTACTGCACTTTAAGGTTTAGTCACCTACAAGGAAATGCAATAAATCATTCGTTACCCAGGATTGATCAGAAGTGCTTGAGCGGCGGGGACGGCGGCTCTGACATTTCCAGCAAGTGTTTTTTGTAGTATTGTAATTGCAAAGTGTTTTTAAGGATACATGTTTTTTGGGGAACCCCAGAACATCAACACCCTGTCAGCTGGGGACCTAGAAAAATGGTACAGTGAGACTCTGGGGGTCTTAGAACAATACACTGACAATTGGTGTCCCAGGCCAATGATACACTGACACTTGGGGTCCCAGGACAATGATACACTGACAATTGGGGTCCCGGGACAATGATACACTGACAGTTGGGGGTCCCAGGACAATGATACACTGACACGTGGGGTCCCAGGAAAATGATACACTGACACGTGGGGTCCCAGGACAATGATACACTGACACGTGGGGTCCCAGGACAATGATACACTGACACGTGGGGTCCCAGGACAATGATACACTGACACGTGGGGTCCCAGGACAATGATACACTGACACGTGGGGTCCCAGGACAATGATACACTGACACGTGGGGTCCCAGGACAATGATACACTGACACGTGGGGTCCCAGGACAATGATACACTGACACGTGGGGTCCCAGGACAATGATACACTGACACGTGGGGTCCCAGGACAATGATACACTGACACGTGGGGTCCCAGGACAATGATACACTGACACGTGGGGTCCCAGGACAATGATACACTGACACGTGGGGTCCCAGGACAATGATACACTGACACGTGGGGTCCCAGGACAATGATACACTGACACGTGGGGTCCCAGGACAATGATACACTGACACGTGGGGTCCCAGGACAATGATACACTGACACGTGGGGTCCCAGGACAATGATACACTGACACATGGGGTCCAAGGACAATGATACACTGACACGTGGGGTCCAAGGACAATGATACACTGACACGTGGGGTCCCAGGACAATGATACACTGACAATCAGGGTCCCAGGACAATGATACACTGACAATTGGGGTCCCAGGACAATGATACACTGAGAATCAGGGTCCCAGGACAATGATACACTGACAATCGGGGTCCCAGGACAATAATACACTGACAATTGGGGTCCCAGGACAATAATACACTGACAATCGGGGTCCCAGGACAATAATACACTGACAATCGGGGTCCCAGAACAATAATACACTGACAATCGGGGTCCGAGGACAATAATACACTGACATATGGGGTCCCAGGACAATAATACACTGACATATGGGGTCCCAGGGCAATGTTACACTGACACTTGGGGTCCCAGGACAATGATACACTGACAATTGGTGTCCCAGGCCAATGATACACTGACACTTGGGGTCCCAGGACAATGATACACTGACAATTGTGGTCCCAGGACAATGATAAACTGACACTTAGGTTCCCAGGACAATGATACACTGACACACGGTGTCCCAGGACAATAATGCACTGACATTTGGAGTCCCTAGACAATGATACACTGACTCTTGGGGTCCCAGGACAATGATACACTGACAATTGGTGTCCCTGGACAATGATACACTGACACTTGGCGTCCAAGGACAATGATACACTGACAATCGGGGTCCCAGGACAATTATACACTGACAATCAGGGTCCCAGGACAATTATACACTGACAATCAGGGTCCCAGGACAATTATACACTGACAATCAGGGTCCCAGGACAATTATACACTGACAATCAGGGTCCCAGGACAATTATACACTGACAATCAGGGTCCCAGGACAATTATACACTGACAATCAGGGTCCCAGGACAATTATACACTGACAATCAGGGTCCCAGGACAATTATACACTGACAATCAGGGTCCCAGGACAATTATACACTGACAATCAGGGTCCCAGGACAATTATACACTGACAATCAGGGTCCCAGGACAATTATACACTGACAATCAGGGTCCCAGGACAATTATACACTGACAATCAGGGTCCCAGGACAATTATACACTGACAATCAGGGTCCCAGGACAATTATACACTGACAATCAGGGTCCCAGGACAATTATACACTGACAATCAGGGTCCCAGGACAATTATACACTGACAATCAGGGTCCCAGGACAATTATACACTGACAATCAGGGTCCCAGGACAATTATACACTGACAATCAGGGTCCCAGGACAATTATACACTGACAATCAGGGTCCCAGGACAATTATACACTGACAATCAGGGTCCCAGGACAATTATACACTGACAATCAGGGTCCCAGGACAATTATACACTGACAATCAGGGTCCCAGGACAATTATACACTGACAATCAGGGTCCCAGGACAATTATACACTGACAATCAGGGTCCCAGGACAATTATACACTGACAATCAGGGTCCCAGGACAATTATACACTGACAATCAGGGTCCCAGGACAATTATACACTGACAATCAGGGTCCCAGGACAATTATACACTGACAATCAGGGTCCCAGGACAATTATACACTGACAATCAGGGTCCCAGGACAATTATACACTGACAATCAGGGTCCCAGGACAATTATACACTGACAATCAGGGTCCCAGAACAATAATACACTGACAATCGGGGTCCGAGGACAATAATACACTGACATATGGGGTCCCAGGACAATAATACACTGACATATGGGGTCCCAGGACAATGATACACTGACACTTGGGGTCCCAGGACAATGATACACTGACACTTGGGGTCCCAGGACAATGATACACTGACACTTGGGGTCCCAGGACAATGATACACTGACACTTGGGGTCCCAGGACAATGATACACTGACAATTGGTGTCCCTGGACAATGATACACTGACACTTGGCATCCCAGGACAATGATACACTGACACGTGGGGTCCAAGGACAATGATACACTGACACTTGGCGTCCCAGGACAATGATACACTGACACTTGGCGTCCCAGGACAATGATACACTGACACAAGGGGTCCCAGGACAATGATACACCGACACATGGGGTCCAAGGACAATGATACACTGACACGTGGGGTCCAAGGACAATGATACACTGACACGTGGGGTCCCAGGACAATGATACACTGACAATCAGGGTCCCAGGACAATAATACACTGACAATTGGGGTCCCAGGACAATAATACACTGACAATCGGGGTCCCAGGACAATAATACACTGACAATCGGTGTCCCAGAA